ACCGTGGCGCAAAGCGTCTGCGGAGGGGGCGAACGCGCTGGCGCAACTAGTTCTCGCCCGGGGTGCGGAGCTTTCTTCTGAAGAGAGCCAGGCGGCACTGGCAAAGGAGGTGACGCAGAGCATGTCGAAACTCAGTGAGTCTTGGGATCTAGCTGCGAACATCGTGAACAACTTTGAGAGGGTCATGTCGTTGGGTGGGGGCAGTGAGTTCACTTTGAGGGAAAAAAACGGGAAAGCCGCGACGCTTCCTGGCAGGGATTTTCCGCAAGCCTTCCACAGCACCGAACAGTGCCAAGACGTCTATAAATCTGAGAACTTTTGGAACAGTTTTTATGATTGAGAAATTTCGCCCCAATGCCCGACAAGCGAAGTTTTGGCGCGACAGCTGTTACTACGAAGAGCGTCGCCGCGGCTAGCGAGTATCGCCGGCCGCTGCGAGCACCATCCTCCAGGCTTGGGATTTCACAGCAAGCCGGGCGCGTCAGTTCGCGACAACCCCACACCAGCCCCAGGGACAGCCTCATAGAGCCACACACCCTCACGCCTATGCTTGGCGTGTTGCCTGGCTCTTGGTGCGACTGACGCTGGCAGACCGGTCCCACGGGTCCGCCCACCTGGTGGCCACCAGCATGACCCACCCACAGAGGGTGTGCGTGTGTTGTACAGGGGTGACAGTGACCCTGACAAGCCACCGCCGGCGAAAGCCGTCGCAGCCCGGTGTGGCGCATGACAGGCCACCTGACCACGGCCATGACGGTGGGCCCGAGCTGCCACCTGGATTTTGCTTGACCAGTCGGCTCGCTGTCTCACCACATGCCCACATGCGGCGCCATGGCTTGAGGACTGCGTGACCCCTACACACAGGCCCCGCGCCCGTCAGCATTGCCCACGTGGTGACCCTAGGGCGACTCCCACAAAGTGGCCCCAGGTGCTGGGGGAGCCGCCCGCGTCCACCTTATCGACTGCGGTGCTTTCTTGTTTTCTGCCATTCGTCCCGCCTTCACTGGGCAGGTGGGGGCCAGGGGTTGAGCAGCGCAGACGCCCCCGGCGAGGGATCTCGCCAAAACTTCCTCTGTGATGGCTTGGGGCGAAGTTTCCGAGTCATAGTTTTTCTGCTCAGCGAGCAGGTGAGGCAGGGGCCGTGAGCCAGAGCAAAGGCCCAGAAGCTTCCGCGGACGCGAAGCCCTTCGCTTCAGAGCTAGCAGAATTCTTGAGGGCGAAACAGGTGACCAGAATCCGTCACTGCTATCTGGAGCATGAGCAGGCGATGATCACGAGCAACCCAGAGGCGCCGCTTATGAGTGTTCTCTTCGGCTCTTTCGTTCGTTCCAAAAATCGCGCGAAGACGAAGGCGCAGGAAGGGTCTGGCGGGGACGATCAGTCGGGCGAAGGAGCCGATGCCGCGGTCAACATCTCGCCAGAGTTGCAGCGTCTCTGTTAAGCAGGATATGTTAACAAGTAGCTCTTAACTAAGAAGCCTCACTCGATCATCAGGCAGAGGCCAAGTCTCCAAGTAGGCGTCATGGGAAGAGCGGGCTGGGGTATGATCGTAATCGTTTACTTACATGCACTCTCACTGGAGGTGTCATTTCTTTTCATCTCCGTCCTGAATGGTGGCGCGCTCACAGAAGTAGACCACAAAAAGTGAAAACTGCGAGGCGACGTGGGGGGAGGCAGGAGTATTTTTATCTGAGTAGAAGTTAATGTAGATCTTTCACGCCACTGCTGATGAAGGCTGACGACGATCTTCTTCTGCGGAAGGTTCTATCTGGTGGCTGTGCTGCTAGTGCAGAAAGTAGCACTTTTTTACTTTTGCCCCCTACTTATAGTGTCGTAGCTAGGTTAAATATGCCCCCGGCTATTACTTACAAGTCGTCGGCCCCGTCGCTAGACCATTGTAACAAGCGCACCCGGTACGTTTGTGGGCGGGAAAACTCGCACGCGGGTGGAACTGGGTGGGGCTGTGGGTAGAAAGACCCGCCCGCGGGTGGGTGGTGTGTGGTGGTGGGGGTGTGGTGGTGCGTGGATGTGGTGGCGTGTGGGTGTGGTGGTGTGTGGGTGTCGTGGTGTGTGGGTGTGGTGGTTTGGGTGTGGCTGTGGCGGTAAGTGTGGACGTGGTTCGCCGTGGCTGTGGTTCGTTGTGCTGGTGGCTGTGGTTTTGGGAAAAGTTTGGGCTTTTGGGAGAAGTTTGAGCGTTTGGGAAAAGTTTGAGCTTTTGGGAAGAGTTTGGGCTTTTGGAGAAAGTTTGAGCTTCGGGAAAAGTTTGGGCCTTTGGAAAACGTTTGGGCCCCCGAAAAAATTCGGGCTCAGGGGAAAGCTTGGCCCTTGGGAAAAGTTTGGGCTTTGGAAAATAGAGCACGACGGCGACTGGTCTCAGTTATCATTATCACAAGTCGCCGGCCTTGACGCTAGACAATTGTAACAAGCGCGCCCGGTACGTTTGTGGGCGCCGGGCAAACCCGTACGCGGGTGGAACAGGGGGGAGCTGTGGGTAGAAAGACCCGCCCAGGGGTGGGTGTGGTGGTGGTGTGTGGGTGTGGTGGTGTTGTGTGGGTGTGGTGGTGTTGTGTGGGTGTGGTGGTGTTGTGTGTGCGTGGTGGTGTTGTGTGTGCGTGGTGGTGTTGTGTGGGTGTGGTGGTGTTGTGTGGGTGTGGTGGTGTTGTGTGGGCGTGGTGGTGTGTGGGCGTGGTGGTGTGTGGGCGTGGTGGTGTGGGATTCATTGGTGGTGTGGGATTGGTGGCGTGGGATTGGTGGTGTGGTGGTTTGGGTGTAGTGGTGTGGGTGTGGTGGTGTGGGTGTAGTGGTGTGGGCGTGGTGGTGTGGTGGTGTGAGTGTGGTTTTGGAAAGTTTGGGACTTTTTCTTGGAAAGTTTGGATGGGACTACTTTTTAGCTTTTAACTGCAAGGCTTGGGACTCTTTGAAAAGTTTGGGACTTTTTGGGAGGTTTCGGACTTTTTGGCAAGTTTGGGACTTTTACTTTTTGGAGAGTTTGGAACTTTTTGGAAATTTTGGGACTTGTTTTCGAAAAGTTTGGGACTTTTTGGAGGGTTCGGGCGTTTTGGGGCTCTTGTCTTGGGAAGGCTTTTCCAGAAGTTTTGTCTTGGGAAGGTTATTCCAGAAGTCTTGTTCTGGAAAGGTTGTTCCAGGAGCCTTGTTCTGGGCTGGCTGTTCTGGAAGTCTTGCTCTGGGAAGGCTTTTCCAGGAAATTTGTTCTGGGAAGGCTGTTCCAGAAGTCTTGCTCTGGGATGGTTGTTCCAGCAGTCTTGTTCTGCGGGTCTTGTAGTTCTGGAAAGGCTGCCCCAGAATCTTTGTTCTGGAAGGGCTTTTCTGGAGGTCTTGTTCTGGAGACGCTTCTCTGGAGCCTTTGTTTTGGAAAAGCTGTCCTGGAGCTCTTGTTCTGGGTTGGCGGCGCTGGTGACAAGTCTCGGATATTGTTATACTAGAGTAAGTAGTTTATAGAACGGATGTAGGATGGACTTGGGTGGATCGGATGCACGTGGACCCCCCTGATTCTTCCGGCCTTACTTGAAATGGTGGGAAGTCCAATGTTCCATCCGATCCATCCCATCCCGGATCTGACACCCCTATAGATAATATAAGTTGCTCTATTATATAATGGAGAAACGCAGCAAAAGCTAAGGCAGGCTATCTGTATTTCTCTTATCAATGATCACGCGTGGAACGTCGTTCCAACCGTAGTAGACTCAGTGTCGAACTCAACGCCACAGACTCACAGGCGTCGATCTAGAGGCAATGAACTCAGTAGACTCAATGCCTCTAACTCTGCCAGCGTTTGAGTGCTGTCGCTGCGCTGAGAGATGCGATTGAGATGGGCAGACAAGCAGCGGACTTGGTTGCGCTTAAGCTGATAGGCTGGCACTTGGTGAGCCGCGTGTTTCTCGACAAGCGGCAGCAGCTGGGGCACACTGCTGCGCAAGTGCAAGTCACAGCGTTGGACTTCGCCTTGCAGCCACGCTACCTCGAGGGTTGGAGCGGTACAGACGCGAACTCCCGCTCCTACTCGCCTCGGCTGAGGAACGACGACAAGCCACTTGAAAACGTGGACGTGATTATGAGGGAAAAATTCTTAGCAAAAGGCCCGATGGGCCGCAGCTTTGTCGGGTACCTGGGGCGAAATGGAGTCGCAGCAGGAGGAGGTGGAGGCGCGATGCTGTCAGGAGGCGACGGAGAGCGCACCACACTCGCGGAAGACGTTGTTGCGAGTTTTTTTAATTCGATTCAAGAGGAGTACTCGCATGAGCCTCGTTTTGGCGACCGTCTTTCTGCAGTCATCGACGCGGGCGCGTGGTTCAAGGATGCAGCCCCGGCCGAATGCGCTTGCCAGCTGTTGTTGGCGGTGAATAAATGGAATAAAAACCACGTTGCAAAAGCAGGAGCAGAGGGCAAAGAATGGAAAAAGTATGTAGGATTCTACGAAACGCGCGCAGGGAAGGACATCAGTGCCGTTTACAACTTAGACCACTGCAAAATGGATGCTGCGGACCGACCAAAGGCCATCATGGTATCCGGAACCAGCGTGGACATGCTCAAAGGCGCAGACCTTGGCATAGATCCGACAATGAAGGAGGCGGATGCGCGCAGTCTGTTTGTTTTTTTTTATGACCATCGCCATAACGTAGGCGCGGACTGGCCCAACCCTCTGGATGGAGTGGGCATCGCCACCTTCGGACAGAAAACGGACAAGGCGCGCTGGGCACAGTCTCTCGCCAGGCTCCGAGAGTTTCGCACTGCGGGGAGCCACGTTTTCGTCATCTTGGAGCAAGCCGCAGCCAACAGCATGCAGATTACGTTAAGGCACCCCCTAATCCATTTCACTCCGGAAGCATCTCGCAGACGCTTCCAAGAAGAAAACGGTCGCAGGATGTACTTCGAGATGGGCTTAGGTGAACTCTAATTTCTTACGATGGGCACGAGGAGGAGTCTGACTCTGACGCGACTGCGTCCTCAGGCCACGGCGCGGACAAGCAGACGCAACTGAAGTCCAAGCTCTGGGCGTACGCGGCAAATCTTCAGGAGGCTGCCGAAAAGCAAAACTATTACTCTTCTCTAATTATGGTCACCGGCTATTCATCTCACTGCCCAGCAATATTTTCTTGGCAGCACCTTTCTTCGACCTTGTGCTGTATATATTTCCACCATGGTAACAGGCCTCTTCTATTCTTCGTCACGGTCACTGAGTATCCCTCAATTATTTAAGAGTACAAGAACGATAATTATTAAGCAAAAAAGGGGGTTACAAGTACAATGGTAAGCAAACAAAAAAGGGGTCTGTCGAGATCATGAACCGCCCCAACCCCATCACCATGGGCCAAGCTCTAATGTAATGCAGCAGTTGAAAGCGATCGAGAAATTTCTCTTGAAATGGTACCGCGATCAAGTTCTCCTATCTGCCGTTGCCTCGCGTCTTTATCCTGCCGCAAGAAATTTTAAGCTGATCTCCATTAGTTTCTAATGATTGGGTGTGTGGTCTCACTCTATTTCTTAAATTTTTTCTAAGGTCTACATGCTTATGAGATTAGTTTTTAGTCAGCCGTCGTAGTATTCGGCTTGTTGACCATGATATATTGCGAGGTTTACTTTAGTGCTATCTCCTGTTGCCTCAACTTATAATTTCATTAGATACAAAGTGTGCTCGTTGAGATCAGTTGTGGCAGAGGCAGCATGAAGTAGTCGTCGTATTAACTTCGGCTTCTCTCTTCGTAGTTTTGTCTAACCATCATGTAACTGGTTAGCGAGGTACTACGTATTCCCTGTAAAAGTAGGGTGGCATCATTATTAGATACAGAGGACTCTGGCTCAAACTCGATAAATACTTCTGCTACTTTTTCGACGTAAAAACTCCATTATGAAATATAAATATATCTTTTCTTCTAACCATGAATGATGGCATCTAAGCCAATACTCAACAAGATTCATGATGGCGCTCTTCAGTCCCTTGGGACGAGACGTTGTTCTACTTCAAAACCACGGACATGATGACTTTCTGTTAGTATAATTATATTATATATAATAGTCTAAAACAATACAGCTCAACAAGATGATCATGAACTCATGGACTTTATTTCCCACACATGATCGGGTAGAAATAGTGGTTAGAAACGTAGTCACTTGCTCTAGGCAGCGACGACCAACTAATGTCGTTTAAGCAGGATAAGCTAAAGCTATCCGTACTAGTTATTCACATTTTTGGTGATAGTCTTGGACTGTAGAAGAAGTAGGGTTCCCTGACAACTACTCTAAGAAGCAGTCATCTTCTAGCTCTAAGATCACTAACTCTCAGAAGTAGTCATCATCTAGGGCCGCTAAAAAGTGTCATAGTTATAGGGCTAGAGTAAGTTAAATAACGGGCTTCGGGTTGCTCGAGTTGCAACGGGTTGCGCGGGTTGCCGAAGCGCAGGGGTTCCAAATCTGGAACGGGTTGCCACGGGTTGCCAGGAGAATCCCGATCCAGCAAAATGGGGCAGGGCCGGGCGGTATGGAGGAGCATTTGCATGCTCGAAGTGAAGAAATGAAGGAGCGCGCGGCTTTTGTTTTTTGCTGTTGCTCATGAAAGGGGCAGCCACGTGTGAGGGGCTCCGCAGCCTTTCCGGCTCTTTTTTTGTAGCGTGTGGGCGCGTGTTTGAAGCGAAAACAAGGAGCGAAGGCCCCGGCTCTCTGTTGTTTTTTTTGAGGTGAGTGTCGCCGTGGTGTGTCGTCTTCTAGTCGTTGGCAGTCTCTCCCTTTTTTCTTCGGGTGCCTGCGAGGAGCGTGGCCAATCTGCTTGGGGGCTGAGAGCGCGCCCCCGTCTGCTGCCATCAGCGTGCGGGCGACGTGTCCAGTCTTGGGTATAGCAGTAAGTATACTGGAGGAGGTTGCTAAATTGGAATGGATTGACGGGCTAGATATTTACACATGAGCGGTGGGGCCTCAAGGGTAGGCGATGGGGCCTCAAGGGCGCACTAAGAAGAAAACTAAGGATCAGACCCGCGGCGCGTGGTGTCGTGTGCTCCTGTTGAGGTCTCTCGTAGGGTCATAAATCTGCGCCCGAAGGGCGCCGCGCAAAGAATTTGGGTTGGCAACTCGAGCAACCCGAGCAACCGGACCCGACCCGATATGGGTCAAAAAAAAGCCTAGCTCTATTATACAACTTATCGAAGAGTAGTCATCTAAGACTGAGGCTAAGCGTCCTTATAAGATTGTCTAAACAAAAGCATCAGCGAGCCATGTTGGAGCGAGTGATCTTCAAAAAGTTTGCCTCTAATGTATTAGTTGTGTTTTTTCTTGTCTTTTTTTCTTAGATAGGGCTCTCCAGCAATATATTGTGCTCTCGTCTAGCTCCAGGCCCCTGATGTCTCTAATCTGATTCGCGATCCTGATTGGAGTCCGCCCTCGAATCCGGAGCCTCTCGACACGAACCAGGCGGAGACTTGTGTAGCGCCTGCTTTAATCAACGACGGCGAGTGGTACAAAACAGAAGAAGAGTGGGTAGTTAAGGCTAGTTTTTTTGCGAGATTTATTGCATTGCATTGTATTGCAGTTCGCCATCCCTCCGCCCACTCGGATCGCGATGCTGAAGGGGTGAACTGCCTCTTGAATGATTTAAAATTCTGGGGAGAATAGCAATAAGGTGAAGGCAGGAGAACAAGGGGAACTCACTCATCAGCCAGGCATAGTAAAAAACTAGCGCTAAAGCAGAGAACTCTGAAGACTACAAGTCTGAGATGCGTCACAAGTCGCTGGAGCCCAAGGAGCAACTGGTTGCGGTGCTGCTTTTTCATTGGCTCACCCGTGGCTAAGGATCTCACTATATTAGTTCGTCTTTCGAGTGCATCCCTGAAAAGTATAGAGCAGGAGTATTACCGCAAGGGCATAAGTACTTTTTACTCTCCGCCGCGCCGCATACTTTACTTCAATGATGCACTGACATGAAAGATACTTAGATGAATATCGGACAGCCCTAATGTGGCGCAGTTCTTGCCGTGCGAACGAGTGGAAACTCGATTGCTGGGCAGTTCGGACAGGTCGTGGAAGCCTTCCACCCTTTCCAGGCGCTTCGTTATGGTCTCAGCATTTTCATCTAAATCTCAAGAAAGTTCTAGTTTTTAGTATCCACCTACTTTCTCAGAAGTTGTGCCCGTTGTATCTCGATGATGTCCGCTCCCTTTAATTTTATTGAGTAAGGCAAACGACGAGTTTCGGGCTGCAGCGAGTTGCTCGAGTTGCTGAAGCGAAGGGCTCCGAATCTGGAACGAGTTGCCACGAGTTGGGCGGGGGAGCTAGCTGCGTCGAAATGGTAGCGACGAGGGCGGAGCGTTCGCGAAAGTACTCACTCGGAGGGCGGTGCGCCCTTTTTGGGAGTTCTTTCGCACCAAAAGAAGGCGGGGGTGGCGCTGTTTCTTTCCGTCTGGGGTCAATAGCGGCGCACCTCTCCCCACGGGGTGGCAGGGGGCGCTCCCTTGTGGTTTTTTTGGGGAGTGTTGTGTCAATCAGGGCTTGGGCTTTCGTTCCTCGGCGTTGCGGCGTGAGGGGTCCCCGCCAAGGTGGGTGCGTAGGTGGCTTGCGGTCCTCGACGGGTGCCTTGGTGAATTTGAGGAACATGCGGCGGTTGCTGTTTAGGCGGGTCGCGGTGGGTGCGGTATTACTTTGGCGGGCAGGTGGGTAGGCTGGTGCGTTACATGCAACCCCCCCAGGGCCCGCGGGCTGGAAGGACGCGCTGCGGACATTTGCTTGCCCCCCTGGCTGCCTTCCACGCACTGGCAAAAGCCCCTTGCATGTTCCGGCTCGCAGCGTTCTTGTTTTCTCCTTCAACGTCTCGCCAAGGCTGGGCACGCCGGAAAATATTGCTCGATCAACTCGAGCAACCCGAGCAACCCGAACCGATACCGGGCAAATTTTGCCTAGTTCTATTAGTAGAATTTCTGATGAAGTAATAAGTACAAGAGACGAGCCTTTTTTTTTTGAAGAAGTCGAGCTCGGGGGGAGGCCAAGTGGGTTGATGCATTATAGAACGGAGACGAATAGAGGAAGAACAGCAAGGAGATGAATTATTACAATTGAATAGGACAGTAAGCACAAGTAGATGAAAGAATAGAAGCTGGCTCTAACTTCGCTTCGCACGGATGCAGATGCTAATACGATGGCTGGCTTGGGAAAAAAAACTTCAAAAGTGGGCACAAGCCATGGAAAAAATTGAAAACGTCTTCGGAATGAAGAAAGACCTTCTTATGAAGTGCATAAGAACAACAGGCCAGAGCGGTGCAGTCACCTTGTGGTGACAGCGAAGCCGAGGCATCCTATCCTATCAGACAGTGCTGCTTGCTGGGTTAGAAAGGTATCATCTATAACTAGAAGCATGATATCATCACATATATTGATATAAATATTCTTTTGCTTTTTTCTAGCTAGGCTGGCTCCACCACTATAGATGAGAAGCGTATCATTTACTGCATTTGCATGATTTAACAACTATTAATTTGTCTAAAAAAAAGATCTTATTTGTCTAAAGTAGAGTCTCTCGTTGGTCCGGACCGACGTGAGCAAATCAACAGGAAGCTTGACTCTGGGCTCGAAGTGTTGGAGGAGGAAATCGGCAGAGCCACGAAGGACCACTTTGGCTGGTGGCTATTCCTACGTAGTGAGACGCTCAAGGGCATGGCGCACGACATTGCTACCCTGATTAAGGCTAGTGGCGTCTCATGATCCCTTCCCTTGACTTCTTGCAACAAAAGAGGTAGTAACTAATCATGGTATATTAATAAAGCGCATATTATAATTAGACGCAACCTACATATATTAATCATACATCATAATCATACTAGTAATCTATGCACATGCGGTTCGAGCATGTTTCGGTCTAGAAAATTTCACTCTATGAGGGCACTTCAATGGCCTCGAACGCTCATCCCCTCATAGGTGAGCCAACTCCTATCCTATGCACTGTTCTCTCTGCTTCAAAGCATATTTATGATAAGGGGAACGAAATCTCCAATGGGAGCAAGCCACTCAGAAGACGAAAGCAACTCACATAAGTAGACGAAGGCAACTCACTCAGAAGACAGTGAGCCATTTCTAAGCTGAGGACAGAGCACTTGAGCAAATACACAGCAGAGGCTGCAAACGCTGCCGCCAAAAAGTCAAACTTATTAAGGCGCACAGTGATTCATCATCAAGAACCTCATCATACTTACAGTTTTATTTAGGAACTCAACAAGAAGTCGAGACAAGCAGATGAGTACTATTAACACATCAGACTAGTTTATAGCACGCATGGCGCATGGAGTAGCATGAGGTGCATGGAGCGCAGAGCTTTAAGGGGCGCAAGAAGCTCCCCCTTTAGCTCCATGCTACTCCATGTGATCCATGCACTCCATGCCATGCGAGCTGTGAAGCCTGATACATATTTCATACTTTCCATATCGCAGTGCATACTAATCACAGTACTTTTCAGATGAATACTATAATTACACACATTTTCAGATGGTGACCATAGTGTATACTAGATGTTGACCATGACGTCAGTAGTGAGTAGATTATCTTCAATGAGCCACTATCTTTCTCGCTCTATTTTCTCCGTGCTAGGACTTGATGAACAGATCGGCTAGCTCGCATAGATCGGCTTAGGGACTACCAAGCATATATTTATAAAGAGACTTGAAGTTGAACAGACAGTGATAGGCCTCTGCACATGTTCGCTCGATGATGCAGGTCACACTGTGGACGGCGAATCGCTTCCCGAATCGCTTCCCAGCTCTAAACCTCCTTCCCAACAGAGTGCGGTACCAACGAGGAGCGAGTCTCCAGCACATTTCGCTGACAGAGGGCGTGGCTGACGACAAGAACGCATGGGTAGAGGACGATGCGAAACATATCGCAGCCATCTCCAAGTTAAGTGCTTAATCAAGTAGCACTACTTGTTAGTAAGCAGTCCAAGAACAAGTCTCATTCTTGGTCGACAATGAGGTTAGGTTAGAAGATAGAAGATACACTGAAACACTATCGACGCATGGAAGGAGACAAAGGTAAGGGGTCCTTCCGTTTCTGTTTCATCTCCACAGGGAGTCGTGAACGAGAACGGAGACGAGCCTCGTTCAGGATGGATCTGTGGCACTAGTAACACCTACTAAATAGTGAATCTTCAATGTCTGGTCTGGTAGAAGTCATCAGTCTACTCATATTAGTTGTTGTTTCAACTTCTTGTAGGAGTCATCAGTCTACTTAAGATGGATTTGTAGGGGATATAGATTATATACAAAAACGGCACTGGACGATACGATTTGATTAAAGTAAAAGTAACCACTTATAATATTTCAAGTCATTCCTTTCTCGGACGAGGGTGGCGCGGCTCCCACGGATTCCCAGGAAGCGGAAATGGAGCAGGAGGCCGAACAAGAGGCAGAGCAGGAGCAGGAGCAAGAAGAGGAAGTTGACGAAGAGATGGACACCCTGTCCTCTAGGGTCCCGGAAGATGTGCAGATCTACGAGTCGCCACTGAAGTGGGGTGCTCCTCCTCCTGCTCCTGCTGCTATTGCTAAGGCTAAGGCTGACGCTGCTGCTGTTGTTAAGGCTCCTTAGTAATAGATCCTGGGGGTTCTTTTTCTACTTCTACTTTTTAGTTGAAAAAGAAGTCGTCGACGAGGATGGATGCTCCGACGAGGGATGCCAAAAAAAAAAATCTAAATCAGGGGACGAAATGGAATCTCCCTCGTCTTACTTCGACTCCGAGCACTTTTGTGCGGGACTTCGAGATGTGAAGCGCTTCCATGAACTGGCTACGCCACCCGAGGAGAAAGCCATTCTGACCGACAAGCTGACGACCATGATTCAGAGAAAGCGGGACTTACTCGACAAGAAAAATAATGCCGAGCCCTCGAAGTCTACTGGAGGTACACCTTCTTCTCAGTCCTCTCTTCAATTTTAGATAGTGTGTATCAGTTTGAGTACAACCTTGTTTACTTTATTTAGTGTGTCCTCTGAGTTGTTCATTTAATTCAAGTATTCACCTTGTTGTAGTTTACAGTTTCGAACCTCTATGGTGTGTACTAGTGTAAGTCGGAACGAATCAAGTACGAACATCCCCTCGAATAAAGTCATGTAAGCTGGACGGTCCATCGACTTTCCAGGTGCCATGACTATCGATGATATTTCTGGAAGTGACACGTCGCTGAACATACCGTTTGTCCATGGTGAGACTTTTATAAGTGAAGACGCAGCTCGCGGATACACCTGGGACTCTTCGAAGAAGCAGGCTCCACAAAGCGGAGGTCAAGTAGTTAAGGCTTCGAATAGAATTTAGTACAAAGGAGATCACTTCTATTGAACGACGCATATTTATGCTTGAGGCAAGTCTGAGCGAATGAATTGACTTTGCACCTCTGTTGGCTTCCTCAGTCTGCGATCAGTTGTGGATTAAGTACTCTGGTGAGCATGCACCTCTAGGCTGAGCACTTTATGCTTGTCCCGACTGATGCGAGCATTCTTTGCTAAGGGCATCACCCCAAAGAGACCCTAGAGGCTGTAGCAGGCTCTAATATAACTAAAATAAGCTAATGACGAGAGATAGTAGCACATCAGGCTATGAGCCTGCCTACTATTTATTCTTGAGGCAACCAAGAAGATTTCATCCAGAGGGACGCCTTTTCATTCTAATGAGGGCAGTCCACCACGTAAGTACATGCTTCTCGTACTCGTTTACAAGCTAATATGCATAAAACCACTGAATTATAACTCTTCGACGTTCGTCATCGTCTAATGAGGGAGGCGGACAAGTAGAGCAGCCAACTTTGTTTCGACCCTTTGGTGGGTACACGAGCGCTCTACCCTTTCATCACTTCGTTGCCATCGATGCCTCCAGGCTAAACCCAGACTGCGTCGACTCCACTTCGGACCCTTCTCTTAAGGGTTCGCGATTAGCCCCTCAGGAATAAAGGCACAACAAACAGTAACACAGGATCGCCTTTAGGAAAGAAAGGCGATCCACCTGTTCCTGTATGTTGTCTTGCCTTTCTCTCCTATGGGACGAGAAAAGCAGTACTAGAACAAACGGGACATCACAGATGAAACGCCAGAGCAACTACCCAACCTCTAAGTCTCGTAAGAAGGTGCACGCAAATTTAGACGGACGCTACATGCTTTTATGCTCTTGGATGACTATTTTGCCAAACAAGACTTTTAGCTTCGGTGAGTCTACATCTTTTACATTTATGTACTCGACCACCCTTTCTTTCTTACCAAAACTGCTAAAAAGACCTTCTAGTTCTACATTGACAACGTAGTTGAAGACGCCGATCTTAGTCACATCAATGTCGAGTTTTATCAATCATCATATTCATTGACATAGACGTTGTGTACTGAGTTGTATTCATTGCTTTGTACTATTGTTGTACTGGGCTAATGTGTAAGATGAAGCTGCTTCATCTAATCCGAGTGTACGTATCTGTAGAGGAGGCTGGCCGCTTCGCCTACACACTGGGAGAGGAAAAGGCACGCGCTGCAGGTGGTAGCTCCACTTTTCATTGTTGCCTCCCCCTCTTTATAGTCTAACTAATTCTGGAATATCTCTACTCGTGTAAGTAACTCGTGTAGTAGTTACATCAATATTTATAACTACAAGTTTTTTTGCTCAGATATTACTCAAACTTCTACCACTCTGAAGGTCGACACCATCTAGGTCTAGAATACTTCATCTTCATTCTCTATGGATATAGTTCTACTAGATCCATACAACGAAGAAAACTAGTGCATTTTTTTGCCCTCTTTTCAGACGATACGGGGACTGAATTTGAGCCGATTTTTCTTTTGGATAGTGGTGGAGGCCTGATCGCGCCGTATTCGTCAATGTGGGTGCACCCTTTTCGTCCGAATCCAGATGCCTACCAAGTTCTTACCTCAGGAGCAGGTAAGAATAGAATCCTTCACGACCTTTGAACTGTACTAAATCTAGTTCTTCTGCCAGAATTAGAGTAGAAAAATCTACTAGTCGAGTAGTGAAAAAAAGTTGAGTTCTTTTATCTCCTAAGCACCTGTGGACAACCAACAATGAATCCATAAATCTAAACCACATGATGGTGAAGAACTTCTTCGATAATTGAGAACTTCTTTGTCATCATCGCCAGCGCTTGGCTCAGCATATCTCTACTTTCACTACTAGGTGATGAAGATGATGGACGACAGCACCAATGGAATGCCCCATCCAGTGCCACTTTTTATGGCTTAGCTTGATCATCCTATCCTAGAGAAGCACTGCTTCTGAAGCAGACGCGCTGCTTCTAGAGAAGCACGCAGGCACCTTAGAGCTCCTCTGCTTTCTTAAATATTCATAAGTGTATGATGTAGATGTAGTTGTGGGCGTCCGGGGCTTAGTTGTGGTCCGACCTCGTGGTCTACTTCTAGAACAGGAGGCATTTTACCACTTCCAAGAGATAGATATTCGTCAGCTTGTTCTCCTCCTCCGCATAATATTTGTTGCATGTGCTAAATCTTGAGTAGTTAGAGCCGTTATTTGCTCGAACTCGTCTCACGCTCACCGTTAGTGTTGTAGGACAATTACTTATAACTTCTTCATCTTCATCTTCAAAGGAGAAGCAATTTTTCCAACTTCTTCTAGAGAAGACCACGATCATAAAAGATTTTCTTCAGAGCAAGGAAGCCTCTATTTTGCACTGCTTATTTTCAGATCTTTTGCCCTCCTGGCACTAGTACCTCTAACGTTTGCTAGCGAGAGACCTCGGTCCGGTTCTGGTGCAAGCAACTCTTTTGCGTGGAGACCTACGTGCCTTCGAGGTCGCTGCAGTGGTGTTCAAGCACTTGGAGTTCTTTGTCCTTCATGAAGCGATAGTGAAAATCCGTGATACGCATACGCCTGAATCATCTTCGACTCCGAATGGAGTCGTGGCTCCAGTGGGGGCTGCGTTCACCCAAGTGAATGACCTGGCTCCTCAGACTGAGGATAAAGTCTCGAGTCCAGATGATGACGCAGCGTCATTCCTCGCAACCAAAGCTGCAGAGGGTAATAAACATTCTCTTTTTCATTGATTTTGGAAACAAGGAGCTTGATGAGTAGAGTCCGAGGACCAGTCTCGCTAGATTCTTTCTAGTATGAAACGATAACAACACACACCTTAGACCCGATCCGATTCGCTCTGGGTATGTCATCATCATCATCATCATCATCATCATCGTCAACACTTTCCCCGGAGGGAGATGAAAGTAAGGACCAGTTCGATACTTTTCTAAATGTTAGTTTCTACTCTAGAAGAGGCTCAAAAATTACTATCTTTAGCATACTCCTTATACTGCAAAAATTACTAGTATCTGGAACTTCAGACTCTCTTCGGACAGATTACACATGAAGATGTGTTACTAATTATATGTCTATTTATAACATGAACAAGGTACCGCACATGCAGCAGCTGCACCAGCACGACCAGTTTCCCCGGGGGAAGATGAAAGTAAGGAGGCCAACAAGGACAAGAAGGATAATTCCGAAATAGACTACTGTGAGGCTGTTATCACCGCCTATGCCGAGTTTCTTACGGATTCGCAGACCGGAATCGTTCTTCAGCCTCCCAATGGAATCCAACAGATGCAGAGCACGGCAATGGTGTACACCAACCCGATGGAGAAAATCTTCCAGGTCTTCTTCGCTGGAGATACCGTCGATTTTATGGCAGTAGCTCTGAGACAACAAGTCGTGAAGGAATAGAAGATTGCAGCAATTATTGATATTAGCAATGCTATAGGAAGGAGTCAGCAATTATTGATAGCAATGCTATATCCGCTATCGTCTAAAGCCATCATATCATAGAAGATCACTCTTTCTTGCTAATGATGCATTTGATGAAGCACTGACGCGACTGGAATCCCTCTTCCCGGCTGACGCGGCTGCTGTGTCAAAGGGGAGGACCGGTGAAGTGTTTATTTCCAGACTGAGGATTCTGGCGGATATTGCGTATGATGAATCAAGTTTAAGGGTTGAAGCATTTCATTTCTAGGAGACATTTCTCACTGTTTCCACCTTGAGAAGGTGAGAAAATGAAGGCAAGACCAAAGAATGAATTGTCTCAACCTTTAACAAGTCCGGAGGAAAGCAAAGGCGAACAAGAAGAGAAAAAAAACTCTGATGAAGATGATACTAGCTCCTTTGTCTCTACTAGTACGTCATCTTCACACCCAAGGGATAGTAGCTCCTTTGACTCTAGTACGTCATCTTCAGACTCAAGGGATAGTAGCGGACGGCTACAACGACTGGTCGCGTACTTATCCACGACGCATGCTTTGGACAAGAAAGTGAAACGCTCGGCTTCGCTATGCATGGGGCCCAAACTACTCAAGAAAGGCGGCACACATGACGATCAACCACAAAAAGCTGGTGATGATAAACAACATCATCAAGAACAAAGCGAGGCATCAACAGCATCCGCATCATCCTAAGGCGTCACGTAATCGACGATCTTTGATTTCATCTCTTCTGGGCTGTTTTCAAATACTGAGAAAAAGGGGCACTAGTACAGTTCTCATTATGTGAAGTTCTAATCAACATCGTTCTTGAGAGCTGAAGATGATGGCGCTGGTGGGGACAGAAGTGCCGCAATTTCTAGTACGAATATAATCATCAAGGCACGTGCGAAGGAGCTCTTCCGCGACCCTGATTAAGGCTCCTGCTCATGATATAAATATCAATATAATTGTTCTATCTTATTGAAAATTATTCTAATTTTTGGTCTACTTGTTAAACGCCGTCTAGTCCATTCTTCGCCATTATTCTAGTTTTTGGTCTAGGACTCGACACAGGTCCGCCACACGAGAGTGTCTCGTCATCATCTGCGTGCTTACATCTGCATGCCCTTGCAAAAAAAAATTTGCATGACTTGCGTTTCTACTTCATCTGAGACAGCGGAAATTTCTCAGTAGGACTAACTGGAGGACTTTGCTCCCTAGATTAGAACTAGTTGCGACTGCGATAGTAATAGAAAAAGGCACGCGAAGGGCTTTCTCCGGACTCTCCTCCGCGAAACCAGTCTCCGGCGTTTCTGAGACCACGGGACTGAAAAAGTCTCATGTCCGCCGCGGACTTCAGGACTCTTAGACTGCTGAGTCCTGAGGTCCGCCGCAGGCCCCAGAAATCTCAAAGGCCCCTGTGGAGAACCCGCCTCGTGCATTTTTGAGTCCATGGGACTCAAAAATGCCTCATGTCCGCCGCGGACCTCAGAAATCTCAACGCGGCCCTCTGCGAGGAACCAGTCTCAGGCGTTTTTGAGTCATGGGACCCAAAAATGTCTCATGTCCGCCGCGGACCTCAGGATTCTGAGACTGCTCAAAATCCTGAGGTCCGCGGCGGGTCTCAGGGGTTTTCCCTGTCCTCGGACAGACCGAGTCGACCCTACTGGGCCTGTCCAAGGACAGAAAAAACCCCTGAGGTCCGCCGCGGGCCTCAGGATTCTGAGCAGTCTCAGAGTCCTGAGGTCCGCGGCGGACATGAGGCTTTTTTGAGTGTTGTGGACTCAAAAATGCTTGAGACTGGTTCTTCACAAGGGCCTTTGAGATTCCTGAGGTCCGCCGCGGACCTCAAAACTGTGAGACTGCTTATAGTCCTGAGGTCCGCCGCCGCTGCGGGCATAGGTGTCTGCTACGCCATTTTCTGCTGGGGCTCTGGGGTGATGAGTGTTTTTTTTAGGAGCTTGAGATGGAGTTATTGCGGGTGGTGGAGGCGAGCGCCAACGATCTGGCAGTGGGGGAGGGCGCTCCTTGGCCGATTCTTGTGGAATCTAATCAAAGGCTGTCCCTCTGAGTTGCTGCGGGGTTAATCTGATGCCCCCACTAGAAGTAGCCCAGTCCTATGCACTGGGAAGCTTCCGCTGAATTGAGACGCATTTCCACTAGTCAGGAAAATTTGTATAGAAATCCTACGGAAGGATTTCTGTAGAGGCGAGTAAAATGCCAAGACAGCGAGGCTGAGGCACTAGTATTTCCTCATCATCGTCATCTCTTGGCAAGAGTAAAATATCATTACATTACTAATTAAGTCCTTAACTCGTACCTCATCAGAGTTCTAGTCTTATCCATGTTCGATCCGCTAGGGTTTAGCTATTGTCTCTCGGGGTACGTCAGACATGGCCCGTCATTGTTCTACTTACGGGCCGCCGACTAATCCGCCCGTGGGGCTTAGGCTCTAGCTTTTCTACAGCGGTGGCCGTTGTGCTTCATCGTTTGCGTAGTCGTAGCGCCTGGCCGTTGTGCTTTAGGCTTCCCGCGGGGTAATTAAGTGGACCTATAGCGGGAAACTGTAGACCCAGGGCCCAAAAAAATAAAACCTCATGCTAGGAACCACGTGAGTAAGTGCATGAGTGAGTGACTGAGTGGGGCACTGCATCAACATCCGGCCGATGGCCTCGCATCCTCGTTTGGGATGCAGTACGATGATGCCTAGTTTGGGCTCCTCCAACCATCACTTATGGCAATTAGCAATTCGTTTTCGTCGACTCTTCAAGAGCTCTAACGCAGGTTCTACAAAAACGCAGTTGATCGATTCGACGCTCTGCACTACTCGCAACCGACACCCCAGGTCAACAAGAATGGCAAAACTTTACGAAGAACTTTTCGACTACTAAAGTACTGTTCTTGAAGGACTCGTCGTCGTCCTCGCCTTGAAGGACTCCTTGAAGGACAAGGACTTCATTCCCAGAACTTTTACTCGTCCTTAGATGAACTACCCTGTAAATCTAAATACCTTGTTTTTGAGGGTTCTTCAGTGAGAAACTTGTAAATTTAACAACTGTGGAATACAACTCACTAGAAGTAGAGGTAATTTGCTGTAGAAGTAGAACAAATTCAGAGTCGTTTGACGAAGTACGGCATTTTTCACCGAAGGGTCACAATATTCAAACCAAAGAACATCAGGAAAGAGAAAGACGCGACTCTTAATAACGCCTGTCTAATTTTTTTAGAGGAGGAGTTATTAGAGCAGCTTGCGGAGGCGGTGAAGCGGCGCGAGCGCCAAAGGGCAGTCGAAGAGGAGGAAGCGCAAGAGCTAAAGACCCTTTTAAGAGGACGGCTGTTCTTATCGATCCTTGTTGATCTACTTCAGACCACGACGTTTATTTTGATTGAGCTCAAATTTTCAGCATCATACTGTTATTGAGATTGTTGACGGTCTCGTCTTTCGATCTGATTCTCATGATCTTCATTGAAAATATGAATATTAACTGATCTCGCAGTAGATAAAGTAGCGAGGGCCCTTCTCTCTGGTTTTGGGTTTATTTGGTGAACCGGTACCCCATAGCGAGTATACCTGTGCACGCAACCAGAGAGCTGAGCACTCACCGGAGGCGTTGCACAGGGCTCCGGCCTGCCTTTGAAGGTGAGACCTGTGCGGCTGACAGGACGACGATAGCGCCGGCGCTTAATTAGTTTTAGCTGTTAGCAGGATACTTCAGGATACTTGTTGATAGTTGCCCTGTTCTCTTTTCTATCTTCCTCTGGTCTGTCTTTTTTCTAGTTAGGTCGGCTCCACCACGACAAATATTAACTGATCTGCATTACCAACCCTTTTCTCTTATATAAATATTAACTGATTTTAATGATAATTACCCTTTTCTCTTTTCCATCTTCCTCTGGTATTTATTTTTTCTAGTTAGGTGCGTGGGCTCCACTACAATACTAACTGATCATCATCCAAAACGGTGGCTGGTAAGGAAAAGCATACCTAGATGAATAACCATGATGCTGGCAATACTCTCTCACTCCTTCTAACAAGATGAATGAGAAGGCCCTCATGGAAATAGTATAGTAGAAATAGAATTCGAACATTAATTGATAGAACCACTGTGGCCCTGGCCGCTGCTAGCTAAGAATATTATTCGATAAGTACCCGGCTTTTTGGCTCTCCTTAGGAGGTACTGCAATATTGGATGGCCTCACAAGCAGAAGACACTAACAGCTACGTAAGCGGCGCCATGACATGCCAGTATTTCACTTATTTCAAAATAGAGTCTCTTTCGTTCGGTAGAACGAGAAGTGGTAGTTTGCGCTGTTTGCACTGTGCCTCAGCCTCTACTAAGCACAACCGAAGTCCATGTGGACGAGGACGACGAGGAGGAATACGAGCTGAAGGTGAAGCCGATATCACCTATAGGCGACGGCGACGCACGTAACACGGAGTCCGTCAAAGACTCGGGTGGAGTAGGAAGCGGCTCGGAATCGCCAGCAGGTGGAAGCGGTTCGGAACCTCCTGCATCAGGCAAGGGCTCGAAGCTACCCGGCAAGGCCGCGAACGCACGACAAGACCAGGACGCGAACGCACCACCTAGCACGGAGTCCGCCAACGACTCGGGTGTCGTGGGTGCACCCGACACAGCAACCGAGCAGGCCACGGATAGCGCAAATTATGACAAACTTTCATAACGGAATAATGATAATTTCTTACGCTAGGTGTGTATGTGTAAGTGCTGCGTAATTAATATCTCACGTTCTCCTTGGGGCGCTCCGCCCGCGCTTGCGGATGCGCACTTTGTGAGAGCGAAGCAAAGGCATCCTATCCTATCCTATCCTATCCTATCCTATCCTATCCTATCCTATCCTATCCTATCCTATCCTATCCTATCCTATCCTATCTGGCTTCTAGTAAATAAAATATATTTAATGAAGTTGAAACGAATGCTGCTCTTGATGTTACCTCATCAAGTAGTGCATACTGGTACTACATGCTTTATCTGAATCTGATCCATCTCGTGATGAGCTTGATCTTCGAACAAGTCATCCACCGGAATTTATTATATTATAACTACCATCGTTATTATTATAACTATCATAGTTATAGTGATCGTATTTCTACTTGATATTTTGCCACGCTCACGAGGACCATGGGAGCAAAAATCCATTTGCCTACTAACAAGCTTACATGATGAATTTATTGCATCATCTGAATTTTCAAGAGGAGCACTCACATTTTCCTTACCCTTATCTATGGTTATCGTTATGGGTTATATATCAAACCTAGTTTCTCTTCCTTGTGAAGATGTTGCAGGCTAGGTGTATTAGACTTAGAGATGTTCTATCGTTACCTTCAGTTGAGCATGCGATTATTGCATCAGAAAATAAAGCCTTTGTCTTCGGGTTTACCTTTCCTCCATAAAAATCGTAAATATTACTCCCGTTGTAGTAGAGCTTTTCCTTTTCCTCGTTTAATGTAGTCGAGAAAACCACCTCTAGTATAGGTACAATCATCATCATCATCATCATCATCATCATCGTCGCCATGTATGGTTCTAGTATTTGGTAACCTGAATTTGATCCTAAGGGAAAACAATTTCCCTTAGGATCAAAGACAGGTTACCAAATACCAGAACGATTCACGCCATCAACATACTTCCCAGCGCTAATAGCTGGGAAAGGCGGCAGGCTCGTGTGGGAGCCTGGGATGCTAACGATGAGGCTCGGACGTGGGAGTGGTGCAGGTCATGTGTATGGTGCCACTGATTGAGAACTACGATGAAATGTTGGGATCGTTTGGTGCCAGACTTAATCTTAAACGGTTAAGTAGATGAAGTTAAGGCTACACGAAATTCATCTTCGCCAGCGTCTTAATTGGTCCCATTTTTTAATGGAAAAGGCGAACCAAGATGAGTTCGAAGATGGATCGACTTCTCTTAGTTCTAATGAAGGAAAAGAGAGAGCGACACCCTCTCGCGGTGTATCATACACCATTCACCCGAGCCACGGCCGTTGGCATTCTCAATCCGTGGCGTCATTCATCACGACTTCCGTTCTCCAGAATGGAAGTGCGTGGCCTGTACGGGAGTGTGTATGCGGTGGAGGAAGCACTTCTTGTTATTCTTAATTAATAAAAATCAAAATGTTATTACTACACTAGTACAAATAGATTTTTGAAAATAGATAGTCTCCATACCCAAAGTAGTATCTCGTGTGTGACTGCTCGAGACTTATGTAGTTAATTAGTTTTTGCACAAGAACAAAAACAGTTTCTCTTTCTGTTTCTGCGAGCTCCTGTATGTACGTGTGACTAGATAGAAAGAGATGAAGACGAGCTACAGAAGCTAATATTATGCTTCAATGCTGTAGTTAATTTTGAACAACTCTGTTCAAATATAATTAGGATTTCAATCATTATTTTTGGGCGCATGATGTTGGTAAAAGAACTAAATATTAAGGATAAGGAGTTGTCATAATTATAGCTCTTCAGTATCCACTGAATTACAATTATCAATGTCGCGTTGACTTTCATCTCCTACTTCTTGTGGTTTACAACTTGTACAAAGACAGAGAAATCAGAAATGGACGAGAAAAGCAAAGCCAGAGAAGTTGTGTATTGATCATGTACATGTCGTAGCAGAAGCGCAATCTTTGTAGGTAGCATCATCAATGAATTAAACAAGAAGGCATTAGTAATTCTGTAGGCAAGATCAAGATCAGCCAAGGCATTGATCCAGTTTGTGACGAATCACCATAAGGATCCACCCGAATCCCTATGTTGCTGGTTCTGATTTCAGTCGTTCCCGCCTATGTTCCTGGTCCTTCGTATGTTCCTCCCATGGTATGAAGATCCCCACCAGAATGACAAACCGCACCAAGGTCCCAACGGTTCCCAGGTTCCAAGGTTCCCCGAGTAGTTTCATCATCATCATCATCATCCTAGTAGTAGTCACCATCTTCATGCGTATCCTAGTGGTAACCGTGTCATCTTTCTCACCCGCAGGCTGGTAATAGTGACCCGAGTAATTTCCCTGACTTTCATGCGTGTGGTAGTGGTTTCCTGTGTGTTCATTCTAGTGGTGTAAATGTTTGGTCGGTATTCAGTCGGTGGACATTGCTAACATTCTATTACCATCCTTTTCGCCTTTGTATGTTTGCAGTAGTAGGATAGCAGTACTAGGCAGCTAAAATTTTCGCATTCGTTCAACAGTCTGAAGAATGGCAGGAGACGAAACAGGTGGAGGAGAGCCGCCAGCCCCACCAAGTACCGAAACAATGGCGCCCCCTAGGCCAATTGTTCTGCCCGAGATTACGCAGAAGGAAGAATGGCATGCTTGGTTGGAGCATGTGTTAACGGTGGCGGACGCCCACGGTCCGGACACCCTTTCGACCAAGATCCAGCAGGATCTGGCCGGTACAGAAGTAGAGTGGAGCTTAAACGAAAGCAACACCTTACGCAGACTCGCAATGGGTCTTCCAGGTGCCGTCAAAGGTAAACAGCTGCAAGCTGTTACGACCACTAACCCAGGTGAAGGCCGCACGTTTATGGCAAAGTTGAAGAAACTCCATAAGCGTTGCACCGAGGCAACAGAACACGCACGCATGAGCAGCATTGAGTCTTTGGTAGACTCGGCGAAGCAACCGGAAGAAACAGTCGATGCATTCATCGACAGGAAGGAGGCCATCTTGCGTGATGAGCTCGGTGGTAAAGTAGATGTTCAAGAACTTCTACGTTTCGGGATCTTCTACCGCCTAGGAGATCCTCTGTCCTCTCAAATGATCCCTCATGTAATTGGTGGATCGAAAGGAACAGAAGAACTAAGGACCTATGCTCGTGAGTATGAAGAGCATTTCCGGTTGCAGGGCGAAGACGACAGTCGCGCAAAGATGTCGTCCGCCGGTACAACGACCAACAGCAAGAAGGTCCAACAAGAAGAAGCTGGTGGCGCTTTTGTGTCAAGGGCTGAGTTGAAAAGTTTGGTATGTGGTGCTATCAATACTCAGATGCAGAAGCAAAACGCGAAAGCTTTGCTTTCCGGTGGTAACCCTTGGCAGGTACGTAAGCCCTTTGAAAAGAAGAAAGGCAAAGGCAAAGGTAAAGGAAAGCACGGCAAAGACAACAACACATCCACCGGAGGATGGGTAGAACCAGCACAGCGAACTTGTCACTTATGTGGCAAGAAGGGGCACACGCGCGCAGCATGTCCCCAGGCGGGAGGAAAGAAGTGAGCAACTTCTTTCTTGGTAGAACAAGATGAAAATCTTGGTAAAGATGCTGCTTTAGGCAGTGCTGAACAAGAAGGTCAAAGAGGAGAAGACCAAAGCAAAGAGGAGGAAGAAGAAGAAGACACAGAGCATCGTGAAGAAACAGTTGCTCTGAAGAAGAGAGTCCGTTTTAGCTTGCATTTGAATGAGTATTATCCTGCATCCAAAGAACAACAAAAGACCGTAAGTAAGTATTTGCAGCAAGAAAGTAAAGTAAGTAATTTGCATTCAGACCGTAAAAGGAGTAACTTAAGTAACTTGCAACCAGAACAAGAACAAAGAAAAGTAACGAGTTTGTGCTCGGTTTTCAGCGGCACCCAAGAAGGTGGCCGGGCATCCACTTCAGAAGAAAAGAAGGCGGATGGCGCTGCTGTTGTCACGAACGAAACAGCAACAGCAACGCACACATCGATCCTGCATATTCAAGACGATGGCAAAGAAGAAAAACAACAACAACAAAACAAAGGAGACTCTGTACTGTTTTCAAAGAATAAAGATTATCGTCTGCATTTAAGTGGTGAGATAGATAGTAAGAGTAATGATGACGGTGAAGGTAATGGTAATGATGATGAAGATGATGGTAGTTGTTTTCTTGGTGGTGTTTACAAGAAAAGGAAAGTAAGCACTGTGGTCCCCTGTGTTTGTGACAGTGGTGCCTCGCACCACATGAGTGGTGATAAAAGTCTTTTTAAGTGTGTGTACCCCGCACAGCGCGTCAAGCTAAATGTGGCGGACAGAGCACTTTCGCGCCCCGCTGTGAGAGGTATCTTCAAAGAGAATTCCTTGGGGCTCACGGTTGGCCTTTTCCATCCGGAGCTTACTCGGATGTTAGTCAGTGCTGATGCACTAAACGAGGACGGTTACAAAGTAGTTCTCGATAAACCAGAGTCGCATATCCTGCATAAGGCTTCTGGTTGGTGTGTCCCCGTATACAACGAAACCCAAACAGGTCTACCTGTGGTAGACGTTGACTTTTACAAGAAGACAGAGTCAACTTCGGCTAGCCCAGTTAAGGTTCAGGAGGGGGCTTCGGCTTCACTCTCCACTGCGGCTAAGCTTAGGGTCCATCAGCAATGTGGACATCTTTTCGTCCCAGGTCTAGTAATCGATAACTGTCACGAGTGCAACATGTCAAAAGTTAGGGCTTCCGGCGCTGGTGAGCGGCCTGCTCACACGGTGGTGACCAAATTCAATGAGAAAGTAGACTGTGACTTTACAGGACAGTACCCCCGTGCTGTTACTGGTGAAATCTGGTGTCTGTCTATGATAGATCAGCACTCAGGCTGGCCAGAAAACTACGCATTGAAAGCTAAAGATGAGGGTCATCTTGGTCTCCGAAGGTGGATCAGAGACAGCAAACAGATGGAAACCGTTCGTAGTGACAACGAGCCTGCTTTCAAGGGTGAAAGGTCTCGCTGGCGTCTGTTTTGTGCAAAGCAAGTCCCACCAATTCGCGCTGAGTATAGTGCAGTATACACCCCATGGCGTAATGGCATCGTAGAAAGATGGAATCAGACTTCGCAAAACGCGATCCGTACAAACCTCATCGGAGTCGACAACAGAGTCTGGTCTTGGTGTGCAGAAGACTACGTGCCTCACGTTTATCAAAGACTACCTAGAAGGGACGGAGTGAGCGTCTTTGAGAAACGTTACGGCAGGAAGCCTTCTACGAAGCACTTCCGTCGTTTTGGGTGTTTGTGTTTTGCAAAGATTCACGTAGCAACTTCGAGCAAGTTGGCCCCCAGAGCCGAGCGCGGTATATTTCTAGGGTATTCGCGTAATATAATTCGTGTTTCTTGGTAGGTGTCTGGAGGGAGGATAATCGAACAGCCCTCGGCATGAAGTTTGCCGCCATTGAAAGCAGAACTGTTCGATTTGATGAGTCTGTCTTGATAGATTTCCAACATCGACGACCTAAAACCCGACTAGGAAGGAGTATTTGTAAAGTATCCCGACTACAAGCAACTTGAAGAAGTAAATATATCCCCTGAAGATGTTCTTGGTGTTGCTCCTCGGGTGCCTGACGATCCTAGTGTGGCTCCTACCGGATCTGATCACCTGGATAGTGTGGCTCCTGGTGACAAGGGTGACGAGAGTGCGCCTGAACAGTCTGTAGGTGATAATGTCGTCGATAGCGATCCCCCAGTGGATCTTCCCCAGGTGGGTGCGGTGAATGGTGATTCGGATGCGTCAGTACCCCCCGAAGTAAATAATCCGTCTTCCCCTTCTCCCGCTAGTAGTAGTAACGATCAGCAAGAAGAAACTCCTGCTGATTCCCCCCCTGGTGTTACGAAGCGTAAGCGCGGTCGTCCAAAAGGTTGTAAAGCAAAACCATGGTGGAAGAAGCCTGGCCCCAAGCCGACTTCTGTAGCAGCATTTTGTAGAGCAAGTGCCCTCTTGTCGTGCATGTTGGTAGCAGATAGCTTCGCCTATGCTCAGACAGTAGACGCTATAGACGAAATGCAAAGCAACCTGCCTGACATTGGTAAAGATGTGCCAGAGATGTGCCAAAAGTACTTTGATGAAACAGAGGAAGAGTCCTACTTGTACACAGTAACGGTGACAAGGTCCGAGGCCCACGAAGGTCCCGATGCCGTCAAATGGTTGGAAGCAGACGACAAGGAGCGTTTAGCACTCGAGGCGAAGAAGTGCTGGCGACCTTTAGAAGAAGGAGAGCTTCAGCCAGGAGATGAAATCGTGCCTAGTGTGGTCATCTATACTCGTAAGAGGTGTGGTAGGTATAAAGCCCGACTTGTTGCGTTAGGTAATCGGCAGAAAGCGTCGATGTGTGGTGAGATCTACTCCCCAACGATCTCCCACGCCGCTAACAGAGTGCTTCTCTATGACGCAGCTGCAAAAGGACACTATGTTGAATTTTTCGACATAAGCAATGCGCTCATTAGTGCAGCTCTAGGCGACGAGAAAGTCATAGTACGACTTCCCAAGCATTGGAGTGACAATCCAAAAGGTGACTTGGTAAGGTTAATGAAGTCTCTGTATGGACTTCGAATCGCCCCCCGAAGGTGGTTCGATTGTTATCGAAAGTGTTTAGAAGAACTTGGTTGGGAGATGTGTCCCCGTGAACCCGGCCTATTTCGAAAAGAAGTCTGAGGTAGTGTCCTCACATTGAGTGTTTATGTTGACGACAACATAATCAGTGGTGCGTCTGTTGAAATTGTGAAAAGTGAGATGGGTAAAATTCTCGCTAAGTACCCCGGTAAGGTGATCGATCCCGATGTAAAAGACGACGGCACTAAAGTTTGGGACATGTTGGGAGCAGTATTAGAGTATAACTCTACCCGACGGTGGTGCAAGATTCACATGCGTGAAGCAGTCGATCGTCTATTGCGAAAATTCAACATGACCGAGTGTCGAGCTGTGTCCTCGCCCGTGTTGTACAGTCCTGAATCCGATACCCCTATGACTGGCGACTTCCCGTTGCGTAGTCTGGTCGGAGGTTTGATGTATATCGCAACCCTGTGTAGAGTGGACATAGTATTCGCAGTACAACGCGTGGCCCGTGAAGTGGCTAACCCCACTGAGAACACGAAGAAGCGAGCAAAGCGCATTCTTCAATACTTAAAAGGTACAAAAGACGTAGGTCTCGAATACTCCCCCGAGATCGAGACTGGTTTCAACAAAGTATACAGAAAGGTAGCAGCGGAAGCTGGTAAAGAGGTAGGTAAGTCAGTTGCGTTCAGCGATTCTGACTTTGCTGGTTGTACGGTAACCTTGAAGTCAACCAGTGGTAGTATCTTGTACTTTCGCGGAGTTCCCGCTGCGTGGTCCGTCAAACGACAAACAGTCAGAGCACATAGCACTTGTGAGGCTGAGTATGTCGCTGTATATGACACTATCAAGATGTGTACGGCCCAAGGCTTTCTTGATTGGTATCTAGAGACAGAAGGCTCAGGAGGTGTTCCACTTGTGTTCGTGGATAGTCAGTCTGCTCTAGGTCTCAGTAAGTCTACAGTAACGACGAAGCGATCGAAGCATATCGATCTTCGGTATCACGCAGTTCGCGACCATGTCAAGAACCTGTGTTATTGTCCAACGGACTTGAACCGTGCAGACCCTCTCACGAAAGGTCTGAGTAGTGTCAAATATCTACAGCTATTTCGTGCGCAAGACGACGAAAAGTTGAGGTCCGTAGCCAGAGCGCATTTTGTCACTTTCTCGAAGTTGTAATCGAGAGTCGTGTGTAACACTTGGTGTGTGTAGTTTTGTGTGGTGGTCCTTACTTTGGGAGGGGGAATGTAGGCAAGATCAAGATCAACCAAGACACTGATCGAGTTTGTGACGAATCACCATAAGGATCCACCCGAGTCCCTATGTTGCTGGTTCTGATTTCAGTCGTTCCCGCCTATGTTCCTGGTCCTTCGTATGTTCCTCCCATGGTATGAAGATCCCCACCAGAATGACAAACCGCACCAAGGTCCCAACGGTTCCCAGGTTCCAAGGTTCCCCGAGTAGTTTCATCATCATCATCATCCTAGTAGTAGTCACCATCTTCATGCGTATCCTAGTGGTAACCGTGTCATCTTTCTCACCCGCAGGCTGGTAATAGTGACCCGAGTAATTTCCCTGACTTTCATGCGTGTGGTAGTGGTTTCCTGTGTGTTCATTCTAGTGGTGTAAATGTTTGGTCGGTATTCAGTCGGTGGACATTGCTAACATTCTATTACCATCCTTTTCGCCTTTGTATGTTTGCAGTAGTAGGATAGCAGTACTAGGCAGCTAAAATTTTCGCATTCGTTCAACAGTCTGAAGAATGGCAGGAGACGAAACAGGTGGAGGAGAGCCGCCAGCCCCACCAAGTACCGAAACAATGGCGCCCCCTAGGCCAATTGTTCTGCCCGAGATTACGCAGAAGGAAGAATGGCATGCTTGGTTGGAGCATGTGTTAACGGTGGCGGACGCCCACGGTCCGGACACCCTTTCGACCAAGATCCAGCAGGATCTGGCCGGTACAGAAGTAGAGTGGAGCTTAAACGAAAGCAACACCTTACGCAGACTCGCAATGGGTCTTCCAGGTGCCGTCAAAGGTAAACAGCTGCAAGCTGTTACGACCACTAACCCAGGTGAAAGCCGCACGTTTATGGCAAAGATGAAGAAACTCCATAAGCGTTGCACCGAGGCAACAGAACACGCACGCATGAGCAGCATTGAGTCTTTGGTAGACTCGGAGAAGCAACCGGAAGAAACAGTCGATGCATTCATCGACAGGAAGGAGGCCATCTTGCGTGATGAGCTCGGTGGTAAAGTAGATGATCAAGAACTTCTACGTTTCGGGATCTTCTACCGCCTAGGAGATCCTCTGTCCTCTCAAATGATCCCTCATGTAATTGGTGGATCGAAAGGAACAGAAGAACTAAGGACCTATGCTCGTGAGTATGAAGAGCATTTCCGGTTGCAGGGCGAAGACGACAGTCACGAAAAGATGTCGTCCGCCGGTACAACGACCAACAACAAGAAGGTCCAACAAGAAGAAGCTGGTGGCGCTTTTGTGTCAAGGGCTGAGTTGAAAAGTTTGGTATGTGGTGCTATCAATACTCAGACGCAGAAGCAAAACGCGAAAGCTTTGCTTTCCGGTGGTAACCCATGGCAGGTACGTAAGCCCTTTGAAAAGAAGAAAGGCAAAGGAAAAGGTAAAGGAAAGCACGGAAAAGACAACAACACATCCGCCGGAGGATGGGTAGAACCAGCACAGCGAACTTGTCACTTATGTGGCAAGAAGGGGCACATGCGCGCAACATGTCCCCAGGCGGGAGGAAAGAAGTGAGCAACTTCTTTCTTGGTAGAACAAGATGAAAATCTTGGTAAAGATGCTGCTTTAGGCAGTGTTGAACAAGAAGGTCAAAGAGGAGAAGACCAAAGCAAAGAGGAGGAAGAAGAAGAAGACACAGAGCATCGTGAAGAAACAGTTGCTCTGAAGAAGAAAGTACGTTTTAACTTGCATTTGAATGAGTATTATCCTGCATCCAAAGAACAACAAAAGACCGTAAGTAAGTATTTGCAACAAGAAAGTAAAGTAAGAAATTTGCATTCAGACCGTAAAAGAAGTAACTTAAGTAACTTGCAACCAGAACAAGAACAAAGAAGAGTAACGAGATTGTGCTCGGTTTTCAGCGGCACCCAAGAAGGTGACCGGGCATCCACTTCAGAAGAAAAGAAGGCGGATGGCGCTGCTGTTGTCACGAACGAAACAGCAACAGCAACGTACACATCGATCCTGCATATTCAGGACGATGGTAAAGAAGAAAAACAACAACAACAAAACAAAGGAGATACTGTACTGTTTTCAAAGAATAAAGATTATCGTCTGCATTTAAGTGGTGAGATAGATAGTAAGAGTAATGATGATGGTGAGGGTAATGATGAAGAAGATGATGGTAGTTGTTTTCTTGGTAGTGTTTCCAAGAAAAGGAAAGTAAACACTGTGGACCCCTGTGTTTGTGACAGTGGTGCTTCGCACCACATGAGTGGTGAAAAAAGTCTTTTTAAGTGTGTGTACCCCGCACAGCGCGTCAAGCTAAATGTGGCGGACAGAGCACTTTCGCGCCCCGCAGTGAAAGGTATCTTCAAAGAGAATTCCTTGGGGCTCACGGTTGGCCTTTTCCATCCGGAGCTTACTCGGATGTTAGTCAGTGCTGATGCACTAAACGAGGACGGTTACAAAGTAGTTCTCGATAAACCAGAGTCGCATATCCTGCATAAGGCTTCTGGTTGGTGTGTCCCCGTATACAACGAAACCCAAACAGGTCTACCTGTGGTAGACGTTGACTTATACAAGAAGAAAGAGTCAACTTCGGCTAGCCCAGATAAGGTTCAGGAGGGGGCTTCGGCTTCACTCTCCACTGCGGCTAAGCTTAGGGTCCATCAGCAATGTGGACATCTTTTCGTCCCAGGTCTAGTAATCGATAACTGTCACGAGTGCAACATGTCAAAAGTTAGGGCTTCAGGCGCTGGTGAGCGGCCTGCTCACACGGTGGTGACCAAATTCAATGAGAAAGTAGACTGTGACTTTACAGGACAGTACCCCCGTGCTGTTACTGGTGAAATCTGGTGTCTGTCTATGATAGATCAGCACTCAGGCTGGCCAGAAAACTACGCATTGAAAGCTAAAGATGAGAGTCATCTTGGTCTCCGAAGGTGGATCAGAGACAACAAACAGATGGAAACAGTTCGTAGTGACAACGAGCCTGCTTTCAAGGGTGAAAGATCTCGCTGGCGTCTGTTTTGTGCAAAGCAAGACCCACCAATTCGCGCTGAGTATAGTGCAGTATACACCCCATGGCGTAATGGCATCGTAGAAAGATGGAATCAGACTTCGCAAAACGCGATCCGTACAAACCTCATCGGAGTCGACAACAGAGTCTGGTCTTGGTGTGCAGAAGACTACGTGCCTCACGTTTATCAAAGACTACCTAGAAGGGACGGAGTGAGCGTCTTTGAGAAACGTTACGGCAGGAAGCCTTCTACGAAGCACTTCCGTCGTTTTGGGTGTTTGTGTTTTGCAAAGATTCACGTAGCAACTTCGAGCAAGTTGGCCCCCAGAGCCGAGCGCGGTATATTTCTAGGGTATTCGCGTAATATAATTCGTGTTTCTTGGTAGGTGTCTGGAGGGAGGATAATCGAACAGCCCTCGGCATGAAGTTTGCCGCCATTGAAAGCAGAACTGTTCGATTTGATGAGTCTGTCTTGATAGATTTCCAACATCGACGACCTAAAACCCGACTAGGAAGGAGTATTTGTAAAGTATCCCGACTACAAGCAACTTGAAGAAGTAAATATATCCCCTGAAGATGTTCTTGGTGTTGCTCCTCGGGTGCCTGACGATCCTAGTGTGGCTCCTACCGGATCTGATCACCTGGATAGTGTGGCTCCTGGTGACAAGGGTGACGAGAGTGCGCCTAAACAGTCTGTAGGTGATAATGTCGTCGATAGAGATCCCCCAGTGGATCTTCCCCAGGTGGGTGCGGTGAATGGTGATTCGGATGAGTCAGTACCCCCCGAAGTAAATAATCCGTCTTCCCCTTCTCCCGCTAGTAGTAGAAACGATCAGCAAGAAGAAACTCCTGCTGATTCCCCCCCTGGTGTTACGAAGCGTAAGCGCGGTCGTCCAAAAGGTTGTAAAGCAAAACCATGGTGGAAGAAGCCTGGCCCCAAGCCGACTTCTGTAGCAGCATTTTGTAGAGCAAGTGCCCTCTTGTCGTAAATGTTGGTAGCAGATAGATTCGCCTATGCTCAGACAGTAGACGCTATAGACGAAATGCAAAGCAAACTGCCTGACATTGGTAAAGATGTGCCAGAAATGTGCCAAAAGTACTTTGATGAAACAGAGGAAGAGTCCTACTTGTACACAGTAACGGAAACAAGGTCCGAGGCCCACGAAGGTCCCGATGCCGTCAAATGGTTGGAAGCAGAAGACAAGGAGCGTTTAGCACTCGAGGCGAAGAAGTGCTGGCGACCTTTAGAAGAAGGAGAGCTTCAGCCAGGAGATGAAATCGTGCCTAGTGTGGTCATCTATACTCGTAAGAGGTGTGGTAGGTATAAAGCCCGACTTGTTGCGTTAGGTAATCGGCAGAGAGCGTCGATGTGTGGCGAGATCTATTCCCCAACGATCTCTCACGCCGCTAATAGAGTGCTTCTTTATGACGCAGCTGCAACCAAAAGGACACTATGTTGAATTTTTCGACATAAGCAATGCGCTCATCAGTGCAGCTCTAGGCGATGAGAAAGTCATAGTACGACTTCCCAAGCATTGGGGTGACAATCCAAAAGGTGACTTGGTAAGGTTAATGAAGTCTCTGTATGGACTTCGAATCGCCCCCCGAAGGTGGTTCGATTGTTATCGAAAGTGTTTAGAAGAACTTGGTTGGGAGATGTGTCCCCGTGAACCAGGCCTATTTCGAAAAGAAGTCTGAGGTAGTGTCCTCACATTGAGTGTTTATGTTGACGACAACATAATCAGTGGTGCGTCTGTTGAAATTGTGAAAAGTGAGATGGGTAAAATTCTCGCTAAGTACCCCGGTAAGGTGATCGATCCCGATGTAAAAGACGACGGCACTAAAGTTTGGGACATGTTGGGAGCAGTATTAGAGTATAACTCTACCCGACGGTGGTGCAAGATTCACATGCGTGAAGCAGTCGATCGTCTATTGCGAAAATTCAACATGACCGAGTGTCGAGCTGTGTCCTCGCCCGTGTTGTACAGTCCTGAATCCGATACCCCTATGACTGGCGACTTCCCGTTGCGTAGTCTGGTCGGAGGTTTGATGTATATCGCAACCCTGTGTAGAGTGGACATAGTATTCGCAGTACAACGAGTGGCACGTGAAGTGGCTAACCCCACTGAGAACACGAAGAAGCGAGCAAAGCGCATTCTTCAATACTTAAAAGGTACAAAAGACGTAGGTCTCGAATACTCCCCCGAGATCGAGACTGGTTTCAACAAAGTATACAGAAAGGTAGCAGCGGAAGCTGGTAAAGAGGTAGGAAAGTCAGTTGCGTTCAGCGATTCTGACTTTGCTGGTTGTACGGTAACCCTGAAGTCAACCAGTGGTAGAATCTTGAACTTTCGCGGAGTTCCCGCTGCGTGGTCAGTCAAACGACAAACAGTCAGAGCACATAGCACTTGTGAGGCTGAGTATGTCGCTGTATATGACACTATCAAGATGTGTACGGCCCAAGGCTTTCTTGATTGGTATCTAGAGACAGAAGGCTCAGGAGGTATTCCACTTGTGTTCGTGGATAGTCAGTCTGCTCTAGGTCTCAGTAAATCTACAGTAACGACGAAGCGATCGAAGCATATCGATCTTCGGTATCACGCAGTACGCGACCATGTCAAGAACCTGTGTTATTGTCCAACGGACTTGAACCGTGCAGACCCTCTCACGAAAGGTCTGAGTAGTGTCAAATATCTACAGCTATTTCGTGCGCAAGACGACGAAAAGTTGAGGTCCGTAGCCAGAGCGCATTTTGTCACTTTCTCGAAGTTGTAATCGAGAGTCGTGTGTAACACTTGGTGTGTGTAGTTTTGTGTGGTGGTCCTTACTTTGGGAGGGGGAATGTAGGCAAGATCAAGATCAACCAAGGCATTGATCCAGTTTGTGACGAATCACCATAAGGATCCACCCGAATCCCTATGTTGCTGGTTCTGATTTCAGTCGTTCCCGCCTATGTTCCTGGTCCTTCGTATGTTCCTCCCATGGTATGAAGATCCCCACCAGAATGACAAACCGCACCAAGGTCCCAACGGTTCCCAGGTTCCAAGGTTCCCCGAGTAGTTTCATCATCATCATCATC